TATACTAATATAGATATTATATATTTATATAATATAAGTTATATAATTAATATAATATATTATTTATATATATTAATATTAGGGATGTCAAACTAGCTCGTCGTTCGCGAACAGCTCGTGTTCGGCTCGTTCGTTAAGAAACGAACACGAACAGTGACTTTACGAACAATTTCGAACACGAGCTTATTTCAAACAAATTAAATTTCAAACGAACCAAACACGAACCCAAGCTTTTTTCGTTCGTGTTTGGGTCGTTTACACCCCTATTGATGCTAACTGATATCTGCTCCGAGGACAGATCCCTTCTTTGTCTAAAAACATTTATTCGGATATGCTCCTTATAATGAGATTATAAGGGGTCTGTTTGGGCAGCTGCAACTTATTTAGGTCATATTGATAAGTAGATTATCCTGATAATCTGTCTGATGAACAGCTGTTCCGGATAAGTTGGCTGACTATTTGGTTTATGCGTTTGAAAAACAGCTGATTCTGAATAAATGGTCATTCTGCCCCTATTTTGAATAAGTTGTTTAGTTGTTTGGTATGTTCATATTCTAAACAACTGATAAAGATACTACTAGTAAGTGGGAGATGTATTGTGATGGACAACTATAGTAAGAGAGGTAGGTTGAGTTTTTTTATTTTGGGAAAAGAGAATAGCCAAGATCAGACTATATAAGAAGAGAAAAATGTTGAGTGATTTATCCTTGATTAACTAGAATTCGCATGAATAGAGTATCTGGGGCAAGCTATAATGGGTAAGAAGAAAATACTAACTATAAAACAAGAAAACTGAAATAATTCTTCTAGTAGCTTATTATGTGTACATTCACACAAGCTTAACATACATGAAATTTTTCATGCTTATTCTTATGCCTATACCCTCTTGGATCAATAGCAATCTCTTAAATGATCTTCTTGAAATAAAAATAACATTTCTCTGAATGATAAATATTTTGTATTGATGCCTTAAAGGAATTCTGATCTCTTAAATAGCAATCTCTTAAATAACATTTCCTATAAATCAAAACCTGCAGTTAAATAGTGAATTCTGGTCTTCTATTTCATATTGATGCTTTAAAGGAGAAATAAAAGAAATGTCAGCATATGAGAGAGGCGTGAGAGCAAAGATCAAGAAGAGGCGGAGATTTGCCTTGGATCTAGCACCGTCGCAGATCACTCTCTTCTCCATTCTTGATTGGTAGATACAGGGTATGTTCCTTCGATCTAATACCCCGTCGTTTCCTTGCACCAATCGCCACTGTCTGCGAGGGTTTCAAATAGGAGAGAGGAAGGAGAAACTGCAGCTATTTGCTAGGGTTTCAAAGGGGATGATCCATGATTTTGATCGTGAAACATAAGGGTTTGGATCGCGTGAGACGCGGCCGAGAGAGACGAGGGCAGGTGGGTAAAACGTGCGTTAGAAACGCTGATCGCAGGGTTATACCTACGATCACAATTTCGCTAAAATAGGATCGCGTGAGACGCGGCCGAGAGAGATGAGGGCAGGTGGGTAAAACGTGCGTTGGAAACGCTGATCCCAGGGTTATACCTACGATCACAATTTCGCTAAAATAAAAATGCGGTTCTCGGATAAGCAGTCAAAACGTGCAAATCAAACGGTACAGCAGTATTTTCAAAAACGCCGCCGCACTTATAAGCTGCCCCAAACAGACCCTTAGACACATAGCACAATTTTTTTCTCACACCAAAACATTCATTTTTTTATACACAAAACACCCAATTCTTTCATATCACAGCAAACATAACACTAATTATAATATTTAATAACTAAATCCACTTTCATGCATAAATAAAGTGTTATGCCAATAAATATAAAAATTTAGGTGTGAGATATATAAATCTATAAGAATTCAATGTTACTTATATAAATTCCCCTAATATTTATATTTAATTTTTTACTCATAAGTAAAATTTTAATGTTTAAAACTTTTCACGTCGGTGTAGTTGTCCTCCTCTCCCTATCATAAACACAAAAAGGTAATAAATATGTGATATTTCTACCTCCTAGTAGGCAATGCCACTTCTAGACATGTACATTGCTTCCTCCTCCCATTGCCTATTAAGTCATTGCTCTTTAATTGCTGAACTCTCCCCATAACAATAGATTTTCACAATCACAAACCTTAAATCTAACCCTTCTTGCCTTTCTAATGCTGTCAGTGCTTGTGAAAATAATTTTTTCAAATTTCTTATCCATTATATCACTTCTAATTGTTAATGAAACAAATTCAATGTTGAAGCTTCTTCTTCTTCTATTAGAAACTTCAAGAAAGTTGTATGAATGTATGTATGTATTTATATGTATGTATGTTTGTTTGTTTGTATTTATATGTATGTATGTATGTATGCTTGGCACATGATGAGAGGCCGCGTCATGTGCCTAAAATTTCAGAGTCTCCGTGCCACGGTGGTATCGAACCATTGACCTGAGAGAACTTACAGTGACCCCACCACCAACAGGCTAAGACCTACACAACGCGCGCGTGCACACACACAGATATATGTAATATATATATATATATCATGTATATGTATATATATATGCATGTATATGTATATATATATATATATGTATGTATGTATAATACATACATATATGTATGTATCTATATACATACACGCACATAT